GGCAGTGCCAAAGAATGCTCCAACTACCGTACAATTGCACTCATTTCACACCCTAGCAAGGTTATGCTCAAAATCCTCCAAGGTAGGCTTCAGCAGTATGTGGACTGAGAACTCCCAGAAATATAAGCTGGATTTCGAAGGGGCAGAGGAACTAGAGACTAAATTGCTAACATGCGCTAGATTATGGAGAAAGCCAGAGAGTTCCAGAAAAACATCTACTTCTGCTTCATTGACTATGGACCACAGCAAACTATGGCAAGTCCTTAAAGAAATGGGAGTGCCCGACCACCTTGTCTATCTCCTGAGAAACCTATATGTGGGACAGGAAGCAACAGTTAGAACTGGATATGGAAAAACTGATTGGTTCAAAACTGGAAAAAGAGTACAAGGCTGTATATTGTCCCACTGGCCTTGTTGTTAGCCATGCTTTCTAAGGCCCACTTGACTTCACTCTCGAGGATGTATGGCTCAAAGTCAGCAACCACACTATCTGGGTTTTGCTCTTTCCTTTTCCTTTTCTTTGGGATGGTTTTTGTTGCTGCCTCCTCTACAATGTTACGAGCCTCCATCCATAGTTCTTCAGGCACTCTGTCCACCAAATCTAGTTCCTTAAATCTGTTCTTCATTTCCACTGTGTATTCATAAGGGATTTGGTTTAGATAATACCTGACTAGCCCAGGGGTTTTTCCTACTTTCTTCAGTTTGAGTTTTGCTATAAGAAGGTGATGATCGGAGCCACAATCAGCTCCACGTCTTGTTTTTGCTGACTGTATAGAGCTTCTTCATCTTTACTGCTTGATATAAACCCAGCCAAATAGGTCAGCATTAAAGAGGCTCTGAGTACAGGTGCAGCTCTGCTGAAATCCAGGCTTAGCAAATGTGATCTCTCCAAAGAAGAGAGACATACAGTATACTTGAGGCCAGTGCTCTCACTAGGAAAATCTGACCCATTTACACACTTCATTTTCCCGGTCTCTTCTAACGCCCTTTGTCTGATTGTTAGAATATGCTGACTAATCTCCCAGGATATTGTTAGAATCTGCTGACTGCTACCCACTATCTCTCCTGCCCACCCAAATAAAAAGAACCTGTTTCAATACAATATGGGGTGGTTGGGAAGATGGATGCTGAATGACTGGCAGCCCCTTGTACAACAGGATTGGGAAAGACATCCCAGCCCGCACAGCCACAGGTGGAATCTGAATTTTGAGTCTACATCCCCCATTCTGAAACCTAATTTTAACCAAAAAACAAACAACAAACAAAACCTGGCAAGCACCTCTGACTATGGGTTTTGGACCTTTTATGTAATTTTTGTTGTTGCTGTTGTTTTGTCCATGCCTGTGTTTTTCTTCTGGCACTCAGCCTGACAAAGACGGTCCAAGGTCAAAACCTTGCTTACATTTGTGATTTTTGGTGATCTAATAAAAGTATCACCCACAGTTCCCTTCAGTTTTTCTACAATGACCACTAAGCTTTTTTTCATCCATATTTTAAATAAACACATAATCACATCCAGAATCATTCTAGCTTTAGAGGAGGCAGCTTGTAAATTCTTTAAAGCAGAGAAGATATACCTGACTATCTTCTAAAAGTAACAAAAAGAGAATCCAGGTCAAAAATACAAAGTTTTGATCTCTTCCCCTGTAACGGCCTCCCTCTACCTCACAAAGGGGGGTCGCTATGTCACTCTAAATCACTCTTCTTTTCCACTGCCACCAACCATTCCCTCAAATAAATAGCTTCAGGCCAAAATATGATTCAAAATAAAACTCAGGTTTATTGGGTACAAATAAAAGGAATGGTAAATCACTTATAATAATAATTCAATCACTATAATTGGTTTTGGACCTTTTATGTAATTTTTGTTGTTGCTGTTGTTTTGTCCATGCCTGTGTTTTTCTTCTGGCACTCAGCCTGACAAAGACGGTCCAAGGTCAAAACCTTGCTTACATTTGTGATTTTTGGTGATCTAATAAAAGTATCACCCACAGTTCCCTTCAGTTTTTCTACAATGACCACTAAGCTTTTTTTCATCCATATTTTAAATAAACACATAATCACATCCAGAGTCATTCTAGCTTTAGAGGAGGCAGCTTGTAAATTCTTTAAAGCAGAGAAGATATACCTGACTATCTTCTAAAAGTAACAAAAAGAGAATCCAGGTCAAAAATATAAAGTTTTGATCTCTTCCCCCATCCCCTGTTGTAGAATAACATTCATGCTGTCACTATCTCTCACACACATTCACTCCCATTTATACAACAGTTCCACCCCTTATGTCCCACCCTCCGTCACACAATTGGTAGATGACTCACAGCTTTAGCAGTGACGGACAGGTGAGGTCATAGTTGTATGTAACATCCCCCATCCCCTGTTGTAGAATAAAACTCATGCTGTCATAGACCGCTCCTAATGTCCTTAAGAATGCCCTCCCTCCTTAGCATTTCTCTGTAGGCATTAATAATAACCATGCAAGTTATCTCAAATGGGTACAGCATTTTATTTATAAAAGCATTTATATCCCTTGTCCCCATTTAAAATAATAAAGGTGAAACTGTGCAACAATTCAATATTTAAACACATACGACTAATGGGAACATATCAGTATAGTATATTGTTTTATCTATACAAAAAAGAGAAAACTTCAAATAAAGAAAACAGCAGTAAACCTGATACGACATACCATACAAATGTAGGTTGCAGAGAAAATGTGAAATGTCATAGAAACCTAAATAACAATTTATGATATTTAACAATAATTTATGCAAAAACAGTTAACTTGCCAGCTTCCCGAAAACCATGGGAACATCAGATAAAAGTGTCAGAAAATGAGGAAGTCAAGATCTGGTGGGATTTCCTTGAACATAACACACCAGACACTTAATAGAACGACACTGACATTGCAATTCCAGAAGCTGCCAGAGTTGAAAATAAAGAACTGGAAAAACTAACAAAGTACAGAGACCTGACAATCGAAACATCTCGCCTCTGGAGGAAACACACTTCAGTGGTCCCCGTAGTCATTGGGGCTTTGGGAACGATATCAATAAAGTTCACCCAGTACTGCCTGCGAGGCAGCGCTTCCTCGCCAAACGCCTGAGGGCCGCTCCGAGCGCTCCCTTCCCGAGCGGAACAAGATGGCGGCCCCGCGCCGTGCCCATAATGCTTCGCGGCCGCCCCAACCCACAGGGCTCCTCTTCCGCACTTGGGCGCGGGGCTGAAGAGGAGCGGTGGCCGTCTCAGCCTCTCCTCCCGTCGGGAGCGCCGGGCGGATTTCACCACCAGAGCTACCAAAAAAAGGCAATATTAGGAACAGCATACCTACTGCGTGGATATTTAGCAGATACTTAGGTTTTTGGTTAAAACTAGTATCTTTTGTTTTTGAATCATCTTCTTCTTAGAAATGCAGAGCTGGAAGAGAGCCGAATTAGACTGCGCTCGCCTTCTAAGAGGCTAAAAACACACCCGCTTCCCTCGCTGGGAGACAATCGGCGCGTGCTTTCCTTCCGACCCCCG